CCACTAGAGTTTAGTCTAATGTTCAACGAGACTAATTAATAGTCTAGCTATTATTACTATTATATAAGCGTTAAACAATACTCTTCACCCACTATGTACAGACAGGGGCCAGACATGAAACACCGGAGGGCAGGATCATTTTGGCATATAGCACTTCTGAATCCAGCAACCCAAGCGGCCCTCCAAACCGGATTCCCCGTACCGCGAGTGGTTAAAAAGATATTATAACGACACTTATATAACCCATAATAATAGCCCAAATAATTATTATAAGGTCCTAATAACATTACTATATTTAAATAAAAGCTATATTAAATATAGTATAGGCGTAGCTCACTTACAGCGGGTTTTTATTAAAAACCAGGATTCGCTGGAGCAGCGTTTCCGAGCCGAAAACTTTTCTTATTGGAGCCGTCGGGCGCTCCGGGGCTTCCTTCTCATGCTAGGGAGGTTCCCTAGACTTGGGAGGGGTTTAAGGAGGTTATAGAGAAGTTAGAGAGAGAAAGAGAGGGTGAAAGGTGTGAGAAATATGAAGGATTCACTCTTTATTTATAGGGGTTTTATCGTAGAGTAGTCCCTAAGTTTCGTCTGTATCTTCCGCGTACGAGCTCCGTTTTCTACGTTCTTTATATCCACGTGTTGGTATTTACGAGTACTACAACTTTCATTTAGACCCCGTCGGCTAATACCCATTCTATCTCAGATTTACAAAACTGTATCGAATTCGCCGCGCTTGAAGAGTAGAGACTAAGTTTCGTCCATATCTTTAACATACGAGCTCTATTATCGACGTTATTTATATCCACGCGTTGGTATTTACGAGTAATACAACTTTCATTTAGACCACGTCGGCTAATTCTCATTTTATCTCAGATTTACAAAACCGCATCGAATTCGCCGCGCTTGAAGAGTAGAGACTAAGCTTCGTCCATATCTTTCGCATACGAGCTCCGTTTTCAACTGTATTTTTATCGTTGAGTTCCTATTAATGAGATCTTCAACTCTCATTTAGGTCGCGTAGGCCAAAAACCGCTCGAACTAAAATTCGAGTTTCGGGTCGTGCACTGCTATGCCAAATCTTAGAAAATTCATAACTTCCTCATACGAAGTCAGATTTGGGCGTTCTTTTTTTGTATGTTCTTGGTTTAATGCATACTACAACTTTTGTTTAGATCACTAAGGCTAAAAAGTCCTCTATCGTAAATTCACTATTTACGTCTCCCAGTGTCGTGCCAGTTTTGCCGTAAAACTTCGACGAACCATAACTTCTTCGTTATAACTCGGATTTCGGCGTTCTTTATATGTACGGAACCCTTGTAACATATACTACCACTTGGTTAAGATTATTCCTTCTAAATAATCTTCCATCAAAAACTCAAATTTGATGCTCATTGTCTCTAAATTGACTAGCCCGAATCTGGGGCGTTACAATTATCTCCCCCTTAGGATGATTACGTCCCGGAATCATCAACGAAACAGGGTTGTATAACGACTCCATACGTTATCTATTCATCCTAGGTAATAATCGTAACTTCTATGTTCCTTCGAATGCGTATCTAACTCCTGGTCTTCTTGACTGCAAGCGGTGCTTGATCTTGCACCCGTTCTCTATGTCTTGTTAAACTTTCAATCATGAACTTCATGTCACAACCTCGCTCTTTATCGGAGACTCCTTCTTCTTCTTAACAAACTGAAGTTAATTTTATTTAATTTCCACGATAGACCGATGGGTCACGTTCTAATGAGCTCTCATCGTATGTTGCAACGCTTAGACTCAGGTCTCTTAGAGTCCAATTCCGGAATGGAATATACTTTCCTTCATGTTCTAATGTGACATAATCACATTTTAACATGTATCATTTCTAGCTACCAACTTCTTTAACTAGCGAGATACTTCTATTGATTGCTTCGATTATCTTTCACTTCAATCTTCTGGCTTAAGTCAGATGCTACATCGAACATGGTTCTCTGAACCACGTAACATACTCATCTTAGTCGGACTCGATTTGATATGACCACTAGGGTCGAAACAACACTTATCTTCTTAATCATTACCGAAACGATGGTAACGACATACTTGAATAAAACGGAATCAATTACTAGCTTCTTGGTAACCTTGTGACTTTCCCTGATCTAAGTGCGAGTCCTGTGCTTCCGGTAGTATAGACCTCTACTACCATTCACACCTACTCATACTCGTCCCAAGTATTGTCTCGCAGTTTTCCAAGTCATTATCACAAAAAACAATTTTAACACATATAAATGTGTCCAAACAATCATAAAATTTTTCCTAGACTCTACTAGGACTTCTTCCATGTGTATCTTCAATCATCAATTCTACTTCAACTTGGTTTGGTGGTGGAAATGCCATACGATGGGACGACTTCGGGAATTACACCAATCGTTCCATCATCCCGCCAATCGAAGGTGTACTTCGGACGTACCGTACTCCTCTAAATGTACTGTCTGACATATTCTAGAGGCAAGATACCACTCTTACGATATCTTCCGATAGGTGTCATGGTTACGCTTCGAGCAGACCAACAAATCTAATGGATGGACCCCTTGTTGGCTGAATAAGAGGCCGATCACCTACAGTTTAGGTAACATTCTGGCTTTTAGTAAAAGTAAATTACACGATTGGTTCCTGTAGTTTAGGGTAATTTGCACGTTTGGTCCCAAACTTTTTTTTAACTCGGACCGTCCCTATTGTTTACTTTTATTGCGTGTTTGGTCCCTGTCACCCTTAAAAATACTATTTTGCCCTTAATATTAATTTTTAATTATTTTATTTATTATATAATTATTTATATTATTAATTTATTCAAATAATTATTTAACAAAATAAATCTCTTACTACCCCAAGTCTCTTTCTCAAGTATCTCTAACTTCTCACGTCTAGTGCCTCTTCACCTCTAGCACCATCTTTGACACTCTATCGGTGCCACCAACACCTTTTACTCTGGCGACTCCCCGATTCTTAAGGTCTGATGACCACCACCACACCTTTGCGGAAATCCATTTCTATCCTCCCAGCCTCACTTTCTTGACCACCACCACACCTTTGCGGAAATCCATTTCTATCCTCCTCCTCTCTTTTTTTTTCTCTCATTCTTCGAGTTTTTGAAATCGTTCTTGTCGATATCTGGATTTAATTTTAACGGGTTTGATTTTCCTCCTCTATTTTTTTTCCTCACCCTCCTCTATCCCCCTCGTTTCCTACAAAATTCAAACCCTAGCCGACTTCCATCTTCAAAATCAAGCATCGATGTTCCTCCTCTGTGATTCAAGAATCCTCACATTCCTTCGTCGGTGTTTCCCTTCCACCACTTCATATCCCCTCCCTCTCCTTCTATACCGACAAAGAAGTCGATTTATGCCCAACACCCATTAATTTTGAAGGTGATAAATCAATTTTCGGATTCATCCTGCTGAGCTAATGTGTTGGGTATCTAATTCCTCCAATGATATTTATCTAATCAGATCAGTTCTTTGTTTGTAAGATCCTCTTGTGTGCTTGCACTTTTCTTTCTGTCAAATTCGGTTGGTTTGGATGGATCTAGGATTTCGTCCCCTGTAGATCGTATATAATACCTAAATGTGATCAGGTTTTGTCGATTTTGCAGCCCAACACCCCTCAATTTTTTTATATGATAACAGGTTCTGATATACGGTTTGATCAGATAGATTTGGGTTTAGATTGATTTTCAGGAAAGCAAACATGATCGCTTTTTGATTGATTTCTGGTTTTTAGGTTTCAATAATGGATTTGAGGATTGAATTTTAGATTTCATCAGGTTCTAGATTAATTTATGGGAGAGCAGGGGAGATTAGCTGGAACAGTGGTGGTCATCGGTGGTGGATTGGGAGTGACCGGTGGTGATGGTCGGAGGTGACGGGGTTGATGGTGGAGGTGATATTGTAGACGAGCAATAACTTTGAGTGTGTGGGTAGTAAGAGATTTATTTTGTTAAATAATTATTTGAATAAATTAATAATATAAATAATTATATAATAAATAAAATAATTAAAAATTAATATTAAGGGCAAAATAGTCATTTTAAGGGTGACATGAACCAAACGCACAATAAAAGTAAACAATACAGACAGTCCGAGTTAAAAAAAAAGTTAGTGACCAAACGCGCAATTTACCCTAAACCACAGTGACCATTCGTGTAATTTACTCTTTTAGTTACTTATACTACATTTGTTCCATATTTATTGTCCACTTTTGACTTTTGAAGTCTTTATTCTTAAACTTTGACCTTAAATATTTTTGTTTTTTAATATATAATAATTGATGCAAAGTATGTAAATGGATACAGTTTTAAATGTCTTTTCATTGTTATAAGTTTCATCAAGTAATTTATAATACAAATAAAAATATTTAAGGTCAAAGTTGAAAAATAAAGACTTAAAAAGTCAAAAGTGGACAATAAGTATGGGACAGAGAGTAATTTTTAGCAATTTTTTGGACAAAACCCTAACCTGACCTAATACCCAAATTACGCAGACCAGACCAGATTACCTGCATTTCAATGCAATTTGGTTATTTGCTATTTTTTTAATTAGAAAACAGGTAGAGCCATTAATTTTGAAGGCTATGTGCGAAAAGTAAAAATGAGCTTCTAAATATAACTTTTTGAAAAATAATTGAAAAATCGATAATCATAATAAAATTATCACTAATCCATAACTAATTTATTCTAATATATCGCTAATACTAATGGAAAAAAAATGGCCTCCCTAAAATATATAGGCTTTGTGTGTGCATACCCACGAATTTGGCCCTGTTAAAAATACCCGTACTATCCCAAACCTTTATGCCTTATAAGTTATAACAACCCGACACATATGAAAATGACAAAAAAATTATCTTTTATCACTTAAAAACTAGAATTTGTTTTTTTTTCCTTGAGTTTAATTCTTTTAACCTAATTTATATCTTATCAACAAAGGAAGGTGTTGTTATGCTTGCTGAATCCATTTCTTTATTCATAAAACATTAATATAACATTACTTGCTGAAAAGCTGAATGTCTCTACTACAAGATGAAATTCCCAGAAAAAATCAACCAAAATTCAACACTCATCAGCTTCATAAATTCTTCCTAGGCTCAGTCGTGAGCCCAAACCCAAACGGATACAACGGGTCATAATGCGAGTCTCCAACATTCATCGGAAGCTGATCAACAGATTTGAACCAAGTACGTGCAAGCTTCCCTGTAAAACCGTAGTCACCAAACAGGACATCTGTGACACCTTTACCCTCCGTTCCCGGAAGCCAGGCGGCGACAAGGGCGTCAATGGTTTCAACATACGGCTGCATCACCACGGGCCTGCCGCTGATCAAAACCACCACACATTTCACTGCACCACACACGTTCTTAATGGTGCTTGGTCCAGGCTCCGGGATTGTCAGATTCTTGCTGTCCCCAAACGTCTCGGCGTACGGGTGCTCTCCCACCACCACAATGGCATAATCAAATTTGTTTGATTTCACAAAATCGCCATTAGGGTTTTCGTTATAGACCACTTGAGTTTTTGGATCTACGGCACTTTTGATGGCCGATAGGATTGTGGTTCCTGCAAGATCAATCAAAGGGTGTATTTAAGGTTCTGTTATATTCAATCGATTTGAGTGTTTTTTAGAAGGTGATTTGATTGTACCAGAAGTGATATCTCCTGAAAGCCCTTGCCACTCGATCGTCCATCCACCACATTGATAACCAAGATTATCGGCATGGGCTCCTGCAACTAGTATCTTCGATGCTTTTTTAGGAAGAGGTAACAATGGCTTCTTTGAGGATTTTCCGTTTTTCAATAACACGAGTGTTTTTCTCACGGCTTCCCTAGCCAGATCTCTGTGCTCCTGGCTTCCAAGGTACTTGGTCATGCTGTAGTCTGCCAATGGTTTTTCAAACAGACCCATGGTGAACTTGACCCTTAGAATCCTCTTCACTGCATCGTCTATGCGACTCATGGATACGAACTTGTTCTTGACTAGGTAAGTTAGACCATCGATGAACTCTGTGTAGTTGTATGGTACCATGATCTGCATGCATATAACCAACATATTATTAATTCAAAGTTATTTCGATATTTCATGGTTGAAACAAGAACAGGAAAAATCAAATACACCATGTCAATGCCAGCATCCATCCCAGCTATGATTGAATACGTATAATTAGCATGTTCAGGAGTCGTGATCCTATCAATTCCTTGCCAATCTGATATAACGATCCCCTGAAATATTCAAAGCCAACCGAAAACCTCATAAGTTGTTCAATTGAGAAGAAAGGAGAAGCTTTTTTTACCTTGAATTTAAGTTTGTTTTTGAGGAAATCGTTGACAAGGTAACGATTGGCGTGCATTTTGATTCCATTCCAGCTAGAATATGAGGTCATAATAGTAGACACACCCTTGACGATTGAATCATAATATGCTGGCATGTGGATGCTGAAGAATCCTTTGGGATCTATGATCGTGTTGCCCTCGTTCGTGCCCAAGTGAGTTCCCCCATCTCCTAAATAGTGCTTAGCACATGCTGCGATCTTATCTCTGCAAAAAGGAAATCAACGCAAGTGTATAGTCACAATCTCATCTCTAAATCAAACGCCATTTGATTTCGCCTGAACTTGCAGGATTCCGGTGGAAGTTTCCGGTAGCTGTCTAGAACCTAAAAACAGGGGGATTTATTTTTCAAAATCTCATAGGTCAGCCCACAAGTAAGCATGACATCATGGTCATGGTCTAATAATATTAAAACCTTGACAACAACCGGTTTAAAAATCTTCCTACTTTTCTTGATTTTCTTGGTTTTAATTTTCTAAGATTTTAGAAAGTGGAGCACATGTTCACACCAATTAAAGATTCTATTGTAATCCCTTGACGCAAGATATGGATAAGACAAGTCAAACTTATGCATCATGATAAGATTAATCAATCACATATGCTTGAAAGATATATCCACTCTGTCCCAAAAGAGAAACTCATCATCTAAGATCTAACAGCAACACCACTTACAAATTTTATAAAAAAATGTTTGATTAAAAAGGCCAATAAACAAACTTACTGTCCACCGACAAAAGGAACACCCTTTCTTGATCCAGCAGGGATGTCTCCTTGTAAACCTGGTATAATCTCAGTCATCAATTTAACGATCTTTGGATCTTCACTGTAACTCTCAAAACACCGACCCCATCTCGGATCTCTACACACCTGTTTAACATAATCTGTAATTATTCAAAAAGATAATTAATTCTATTTTACTTAATGACATGCTTCAAAATTGTCTACTTACTGCAATACAAGGTGCAAAAGCATATTGTATTCCGGTGGCTCGAACTTCAAGAGCCGTTGCAGCTCCAATCTTCTTAACCAGAGCAGGATCCCTGTTCAAGATTTTGGCATTTTGTCATGTGAACACGTCACACATTTCAAGAAGCTACTTTCAGAGCATAATTGACTTGCTTATTATGCATTAAAACTTGTAACCGATCTAGATTTAGGAAAAGGTGCTTTCGAACTTGCCTGGTAACTCCAAGACCAACATTGTGAGGAAAGATTGTAGCTTTGTAAACATTGTTATGGCCATGAACAGCGTCGATCCCATAAATCAAAGGTATCCCCAATCGGGTCGATAATGAACCCTTTTGGAAATCGTTGACCATGTCAACCCATTGCTTTGGGGTTGCATGTTTCGCCGGAACACTCCCTCCTCCGCTCAAAACACTCCCTGAAAACGCAAACAAGTGTAAGAAACATCTCTAACCAAGAAAATAACAAAAAAGCAGAGTTGGAATGATTCTTGTACCTATTAAGTACTTCTTCATGACCTCATTTGATGCGACAGTTCGATCGATCTGGGTCATTTGGCCGATCTTTTCCTCTACAGTCATCCTTTTCATCAAGTCTTTGATACGAACGCCGAGCTTTTGTTTTGGATCTTTGTATTTGAAGTACGCTGCTTCAGCCATGGAAGCCCAGCAACACATCACTATGATCAAGAAAACTGAAAATTTCCCCATGTTCTTGACCCCCATTGCAAATGGGAGTGTGTTCTTCTCTAATGAAGAACAAGTGACGATATTTCTACAGTAAATAGAAGTGGATTAGGTTGTAGAAGACAAAGAGTTGGGTCAAGATTTAATATATATAATTCTCGGATTTCTTTTTCTCAAGATTGGGTCCCATCTTCTACTTTCAAGAGTTTATAACTTCAAATTGGACACAACCTGTGCTGTTTGGATTGAAAACGGCTCTAATCTGTATAACGGGTGTTATAATAAAGTATGTAATTAAGCTAAAAGACAAAAGGAGAAGAAGTAAAGTGTGGAATTTTCAAATCTATATATTAAAATCAGCATTCAAGGTGTTATGATTAAGATAACTTGTTACAAACAGCATTGATGAACAGGTTGCAGAAATACAGATGAAATTATCAGATTTGCTAAGAATTAAAATTAAAGTTGAAGCATTTTTAGATGTTTCAGTGGGTTTAACATAAATTAACAGAACTACAGAAAATAAATGGGATTTTACTTACAGAGATGCTTAAGAGAAAGAGAGTGGAGATAGTGTCTTGTTCTACAGAACAAGATGGATATTTATAGAACTTTTTCAGTTTTTATTTTTAAGTTTTATCTAGACTGACGGCTTGTATGGAGAGTGGAGAGCGTGTTCTTTCCTCTCTTAATTATGGACCACTTGGTCTTTCTTTTCATTAATATCACGATGTTTGAAGTTTATAACATGGTTTTCTTTAGCAGTTATTGAAGATCTTTCAAATCTTTAACATCATTTTACCTAAAACATTGTTTAATAAAAACTATCCGTTGTGCTTTTTATTTGTCTAAGTATTTTGATTCTCACCATTTAAATTTAGAAAAGGATGAAAAGCTTGTGTTTAAGTTTCATAATCTATTATAAATTAACTAAGATGATAATTGATTACATTTTTTAAAGATAATAGACAAATCTAACCTTATAAACGCGTTTTTAATAAAACTAAACAACTTTTTTTAGAAATGATCATTTCCTCTGGAATAGCGTATTCCAGAGCACATAAGAAAATTTCGGACTTGACTCGGGCAACGTATTTCGGAGAATTTATTTTTGTTCGGGATTCGTGGATGGTTGGTAGGAATTAGGTTGGAATCTGACACCCTGTATATTCCGGACTAAAAAAATGTATTCCTGATTGTACTCCATAATGATCGTACACTCCGGAGGTCTATTCCGGAGAGCTAAAATTAGGGTATTTGTGTGGTTTTGTTCCATAAATTTTCATATATGCAATATATTTGTGTTTTTGATACCTTCATTACACGTTCCGGAATGAGTTCGTATACGAGATTTTTTCGAGTGTCAGTTTCTAGTGGAGGGCAATGACAGTGTATCGAAGGATCTATGTAATATATTGCTCTACACTACACATGCTTTGATGTAGATATAAACAATGACATTAACTTCGTCGGGTTATTTATGTTGGTTGCTTCAGCAAATACGTCTATATTTTCAATGTCCTGGATCAAATCTAGTTATGCAGATTCTAGACGATAGTGGTGTCAGATATTTTCTTAGTTTTGTTAGCAATATGGCTCCAACCACAGTACAATTGTTTGTTGTTAGTAACATTATGGAAAGTGGTATTCATCAATTTGTCGGGGAAAATCGTTCTGGTGGAAATTGGTCTTCTGGTACTGGAGTAACCAAATGTGTAATTTATTACCTATGGCAACTAACCATGTTCCTTCTTATAATGGCCTTGTACATGGGGGTGATTATTGAAATAAAGGTAAGATTGTTGTTGATGCTTCTCCTACGGTTGATGTTGATGAATCTGAAAATGATGATGCAAAATAATGATGTTGGTTGATGATGGTAATATAATTCCACATTGAGAGACAGATGAACATTTTCAAAGTTACACTGAATTTCATGGGGAAGATACTGAAGGTGAAGAGGAGGAAACTGAGCCCTTACAACCCCGAAAATCACAACAGGAAAAGTTTCCTTTTTATTTTTCGATTCTGAAGAAACACAAACCACCCATTGGGGTACACCTCAACCTTTACCATTGCCTGAACTAGCTCAACAAAAACGTAAATGTGTCACAACCCACAATTATACTTCCTATGTGAAGCTCCAACTCTTTAAAAACAAAGAACAACTTAAACTTAAGTTAGGATTAAAAAGTGTTACTGAAGGCTTCCAATATAAAGTGAAAAAATCCACAAAAGACAGGTTAGAAGCTATTTGCTTTATGGATAATTGTGACTGACGGATACAAGCAACAAAACATGATATTACTGATACATTTCAAGTGGTTAAACTATCGGAGAAACACACTTGCTCAAACACACAGTTACGTCCCCATCACCGACAAGCCAACAAAAAGGTATTGGGTCACTTGTTAAAGGGCATATTGGCTGATAGTACATGTACTATGTTGCGGGGGAAGCAGATACAAACAACTTTAAATGACCGTCTTAGTGTACATATTTTATACTTGTAAACATGGAGTGGTAAAATGTATGCTCTAAATCTGTTGAGAGGGACCCCTGAAGAAAGCTTTCAAAGACTACCTTTATATTGTTACAACTTGGAGAAGAAGAATCCAGGGACGGTTACACATATAAAGACGAGTTATGACAACAAATTTGAATACTGTTGTGAAGTAATATTTTGTAACGACCCAATTTTCAAGTCCAAAAATTTCTTTTTAATTAACTGACTTATAAAAACATTCATAGGAAAATACTGTGAAAACACATCATCTCATAAAACAGAACATCATGTCTGAAAACCCGAGTCATAAAATAATACATATCAGAGTACAATCCCAGAAAACTCCATGCGGAAATCATGTGTGTGTGATGCGATGCTACGCCGCCGACTCCTTCCCCTTAGACGAAGAGGTACCTGAAACCAAAACTGAAACCGTAAGCACAAAGTTTAGTGAGTTCCCCCATCATACCACATACCATACAATATCCTCGGTATCTTTCAACTGGTAATCATCATCGGTATCTTTCAACCGGTAATCATCATCGGTATCTTTCAACCGGTAACCATCATCGGTATCTTTCAACCGGTAATCCCCATCGGTATCTTTCAACCGGTAACTGGGGACTATTCCACCCCCTACCACTAGCATACAACAACAAGATATAAACATACAGTCAGGCATATCCGGGTACTGACCTACCCTTTGGTCCTAAGGACCGCTACCAGGGAAACCAATCCCTATCATACACATAACATATCATACAAATAAAACTCATGACCAAAGCATGTAACCAAACCAAGATAATTATCACAAAGACAATCATCTCCTAAATACTCCTCATTGGTGGGCCGGCATTGTGGCCTTAGACCCACCCCTACTGGAAGGTAACTCACCTCGTACGGGAAGCTGTTGATAATCTGTGCGGGAAACCTCCGTCCGCTGCTGCTCCGGAAATCCTCCGGCTACAACCCCCACAAAACACTCAGTTAGAAACTGATATCTACTCTTAGGGTAAAATGACCATTTTACCCCCAACCAAGTCCAAGTCAAAGTCAACTTCCAGTTGACCCGACTCGCCGAGTTGGGCCGTCAACTCGTCGAGTCCCTTCCCTTTACTCGTCCTTATCCACGACTCGACTCGTCGAGTTTGGCAACGACTCGACGAGTTCCCCTTCCTTACGAACATCAATGAACCTTCATCCGACTCGCCGAGTCGGATGAACACTCGTCGAGTTCACCTTCAACTGATGAACAAGTCCTGACCTTGACTCGCCGAGTCGTATGAACAACTCGTCGAGTTCATCTTCAAACTTAAGAAGATTGCCTTGGACTCGCCGAGTCTGTTCTAGCACTCGTCGAGTCCCATGAACTCCAGGTCTAAAATTAAGTCCAGTGCGTTAGGTCACTCCTTCTGTACTGTTACAACCTTTCTAACGCCCAACTGAGTCCTTTTGACCCTCAACAGAAATGGGACTCAAAGCCTTGGACTCGTCGAGTCCCAAGAACGGACTCGCCGAGTCGATAACGTCCACACCCAAAATCCTCGATTTCTGATGTACAACACTTGACCAAAAGATAGATCTAGGCTCCTTTAATCGTTCTAGCACGTAAAGTTACAAACTTTACGTGCATGCATGGGACTTTAAGCTCAAAAGGACATAAAATAAGCTCTAGTGTTGCATGGGGCCTTCCTTGGGTGCAAAAGCAACCCAAATCTGCCTTGTGACCCCTCCCAAGACCTAGATCCGAAGTCTTGACCCCCAACCATGTTTGCAATCATGGTTGGTTACCACAATGGCTTATAAAAGCCCTAAATCTCCCCAAAAAGGGATCTATCAAATGAAAGAGCAAGGTACAGACTTTATACCTCTCAAAGGCTGCAAATGATGAACCAAACTCGGATCCTTCAGCCTCTTCTTGATCCTTCTATGCTCTTCCTTCTTCCTTGAGGTCAAAACCCACAAAAATCACTCAAAAGCCTTAGATCTTGCACCAAAACACTTAGGGTTTGCTATGTAGGGTTTCTGGGAGCATAAAGGGGCGATGGAGGCTGTATAAGGTTGTTTAAATAGGGTAGGAACCCTCAGATTAGGGTTTTGTCCAGTCAGAGCCTACTCGTCGAGTCCGGGACCCGACTCGTCGAGTCCATCACTTAAATCCCGCGCCTCATCCCGCTTCTACTCGGCGAGTTGGTCCTTCAACTCGCCGAGTCCAAGGCCAAAAATGCAAAATACTTAAATAAAAATACATACCAAGAACCAGGTGCTACAAATCTCCCCCACTTATTTTAGACTTCGTCCTCGAAGTCTGCTGCTCGATCTTGGAACAGTTCTGGGTAATGCTCCATCATCTCATCCACTGGCTCCCAAGTCCATTCCGAGCCCTTCCGGTGCTGCCATTGCACCTTTACCAGCTCAACCCTCTTATTCCTCAGATCCTTCGAGTTCCGGTCGAGGATCGCCACTGGCCGCTCAATATAATTCAGGCTATCATCGACCTGAATATCCTCTAAGGGTACTACTGCTGAGTCGTCCACCAGGCACTTCCATAGCTGAGAGACGTGGAAAGTGTTGTGGATCTGGCTGAGTTCGACTGGCATATCCAACCTATAAGCCACCTTGCCCACCCGGGCTATAACCCTGAAGGGTCCAATATACCTGGGGCCCAACTTGCCCCGCTTCCTGAATCGGATGACGCCCTTTCATGGCGACACCTTCAGGAGAACCATATCCCCGACCTGAAACTCCAGGTCCGATCGGTGCTTGTCGGCATAGCTTTTCTGCCGACTCTGCGCAGTCTAAAGTCTGCTCCTAACCTACTGAATCATTTCGTTCGTCTTGAGCACTACATCGGTGCTCCCCATGACCCTCTAGCCAACCTCGCCCCAGCATATCGGGGTCCTGCACTTCCTCCCGTACAACATCTTGAAGGGAGGTCGATCGATACTCGCATGATAGCTATTATTATACGAGAACTCCGCCAACGGAAGGTAGGTATCCCAACTACCTCCGAAGTCTAAAACACATGCCCGCAGCATATCCTCTAGCGTCTGGATGGTCCGCTCGCTCTGACCATCCATCTGCGGGTGAAAGGCGGTGCTAAAATGCAGTCGAGTACCCAGCTCGTCATGAAACTTCTTCCAAAACCTGTAAGTGAACCGCACATCCCTGTCAGAAATCACCGAAACTGGCACTCCGTGCCGAGCTACCACCT